ATAGTACGAGCAAACACTTTCAGAGACTTTGAGAACTGGTAATGAAGATTATATAGTTTCAGTGTCCTTTTCACCCCTGGAGGCAGATCTGAAATAATCATACTTATACACAGGAGCAAAGGAGATGCTCCAATGTCAATCTTTTACAATAATTTGTGCATTAACATCACATTTTTTGGTGAATCAATTCACTCTATGGATGTTTTCTTATGCATATACATGAGTCAGAGCAGAAGGCTGAGTAGTTCATATTCATTCGGTCTCTTGCTACTGGCAGCAAAACTTTTCAGAGCCATTTCCTTTATGAAAAATCATTTTTTGAAGCAAGTTGTTCTTCTATATAGTTCAACCCCATGCCTGAGATTTGCAATAATGCAGGACCAGTTTACCATCACTGCCAAAGCACTGCAAAAGAAAAAAAAAATGCAACTTTTGTTATTCTTAGATGAAACTTAAACAATGTCATATATACTATAAGTAACCTTGAGGCTACTTCTTTTAAAAGATGCTTATTTTTACCAGACACATACCAATAATCATGTTTAATAAAAACCTGTCACTGGAACATCTTTCTTAAAGTTTTAAGAAATTTTGTGAAGGCTGTTATGGCTTGTGTCTAATGCACGCCGAAGGCCTCATGTGGTCATAGGTGGAGATTTTGCAGAGGTAGCTGGATCTAGAGTGTGTGATGCTGGAAGTGATTCACTGCACAATGTTAGGCTCAAGCACACTAGCATTAAGAGTGTGACTTAAACAGTCTGGATAAAAGGGGAAAAAAGACACTGTTAAAGGCCCTTTGCTTGCTTTTGCTGTCTTCTGCCTACTATGTGCCACTCTGCCTTGGAGCCTGTCAACTACGGGACTTGAAACCTCTGTGAACTGTAAGCCAAATAAACCTTTCCTTTTTTTACTTTAGGTGTTGGGTATTTTGTCTCAGCAATGAGAAAGTAACTAAGACAAAGTCAGATCTAGTTTCTGCCTCATATAAACAGATAATGAAAAAACTGTATCTGAATCATAAAAACATAAATAAAAGCTTCCTGAGAATACAAACAAAAGACAAGTCAGGTACAATTTGTACCTTGATTTTTCAATCACTACATAATTTAGATCCTATTATGTTCAAGGTGTGAGATATAGTACAGTACCAGAAAGTCATTTCATCTTTACCCTTTTCACAATTAAGAATGGCATGCTAGCTCTTAAATATATAACTTAATGATCCATGCTATACATTGTATTACATGTACTACACAGTACAGATGCTCCATTAAAAGAAAAAAAAAAAAAAAAAAAAGCAGTAACTTTTTACCTCATAGAGGGTTCCAACTTCCTGGTCTGGGGAAGGTGCAAAGGATTGATTCACATAAATAAACTACAAGAAAGAAAAAAGATTCATTTTTAATGGTACCCCAATTAACCTTGATCTTTTTAGGGTTCTGCTCTAGCTATTTCAAATTCTTCAGATTGAAGAAAGTTTTCCTATGCTTCTAAATCATCAAACGAATCTTTAATACGATCACATCTTTCTTTTCAGGTATATTAAGAAAAACAGAAGTTTTGCTCCACTCAATAAATCTAACATTCAAGATACTCTGTACTTTTTTCTTGGGTAAATGTAACTTTTAATACTTTTGAAAACTTTCAAAGGTAGTGAATTTCAGGCTGGGTAGCACCAAAGTTCCTTGGAGGCAAATGATGAGATGGAAAAGGAAATATACATAAATGAAGCCCAACGTTCTTTAAAGCTTTTATTACTTAATATTTATGCTGCTTCTATTAAAACAGTTCACTACTTAGATCATAGTGACAAGAGCAGTTTTTGTTAATTTTCTTTTTAGGAAAGAAAACATGCCTTGTAGTATAGATAACCAAATTCTAATACTAAAATATCCTGGGCTATAAAGTGTCAGTATAGTTGGCTGACAGACTACTTACAACTCCAGTAATAATAATAATAATTTTTCCAAAGGCAGTAAGTATATGGGTTCTCTGTTGACAGATCTAGGCTTGGATCCTGGCTCTAAATACAAATAACATTTCTTGGCTTGTTTATTTGTAATATATGCAAAATAACAGTACCTAGACCTTTTAGGATTCTTAGGAAAGAAAAAAGTGAGAATATTGAGTGCCTGGTACATGCACTCAACAGTTATTATAAAATTATTTTAAAATAGTACATGCTTCAATATCATTTCAGTTAGTCATATGTGTAAAATATGGAAAATAGTATCTGTACTTCTTGTGGTTGCTAGGAAAGAAAATGAGAATACATATCAAGTAAGTGCATGGTATAAACATTCAACTGATGTTATTGTTAAATTACTTAAAAGTTCATGCTTAAATACTTCAAAAATTTCAGATATGTAACAGCAATGTATGTTTTAAGGTAAATTTAAGATGTTACTGTAGATCTTGGATTTTTAATTATACATGCACAGACTTTCATGGTGTTGGTAGATTTTCAAGTAGAAGGGGGCTGGGTGGTGGGTGGCTGTGGTAAGGCACTTGCCCAGCATGGAGAGGCCCTGGGATGGCCTAATGCCAAAAAGATAAGTAAATTAGGAAAAAGGATTCTGATGAAAGTTTCATTTCAGAAAACATTTGTGTCTGTGATGTACTAAGAACCAAACAAGGCATGGAATTATGAAGATCAACGTGATTTTTCCCATCAGTAAACTTAAAAGCCATTGGTGAGGAAGACATATGAATAGTTAGGAATACAAATGACAAAAACTAGTTTACAGGGTCAGCAGAGTACCTGCAAAACTAGGGGAATTCAATGATTTTGTAGCAGAAACTAGAAAGTGCAAATGACTATATTTAAAAAGAATTGTTAGTTTGAGAACTTTAAACCATAAATAAATGAACTTTGCAGGTATAGTGTCTCATATTTGTAATTCCAGCACTCAGGAAGCTAAGGCAGGACGATCTTTAGTTCAAGGTGGCCAGCCTGGGTTACTAAGGAGTTCCAGGCCAGCCCAACTACAGAGCAAGACTGTCTCAGACAAAAACGAAACAATCAGAACACCTCCCCGCCGCCATAAACCATATTCAGTATCTGTCACTTTCACATAGTTTTTACTCATTTTTTTAAATTAAAAAGAATTATCTTTTTTTTCTTAAACTAGTATCTATCATATATTTGTTATGTTCACAGCAGTCCAGTTTTCATTCTGAGATAATCTTCCTTTTATTTGTAATTCTCTTCTTGGGCCTTTTCACTTTCTTACTTTTATTAATACCAATTTTTTATATAAAATCTAGTACCATTTTCATAACTTTTAGTTTTGTCTCGTATGCACATTTTTTTGCCATCATTTCACTGTCTTCAGGGATTTTTTTTTTTTTTAATAACACTGTTATGGAATTTGACTTCAATAATTCCTGTTTCTGGTTTTTATGTGAAATTAGTTTACCTCTGTTTTTGGAATAAAGTGGCCCAGTACAGTTTTCGTAACTGAGAGCTCCCTTTTCTATTATATTCTTGTACAGTACTAAAAAATATGGAAGCCTGCTTTCCAGGCTGCTTCTTCTATACTCTAGGATCTAGTCTTTATCTTTCCTTCCTTTCTAGTTTCTCCTCCATGGCTCAATTTTGATTTCCCAAGATTTTCTCCCATATGGGTTTCCTAGTGGGTCTGTTTTGAGAGCCCTTAGGGACTACACTGCTTTAGTTCTTTTAGTCCTCCTTAGTGTGGACATGCTGTCATCACCTGCTCAAGAGAGAGAACCCCTTAGTTTCAGGTACTATTTTTTTGGACAGGAAGATGAGGCTCAAACGTAGCAAGGCATCCATGCACTGTACCACTAAGCTTAATCCTTAGACCCTACAATACTATTAAATTTGTGCAGAATAGCACCCCTTAGCTATTTTGAGGTTCTCTTTTTTTCAGTGTTAAGATGTCAACCCTGTAGCTCACAGCTTCTCTTAGTACAGAGATGCTGGAATCATGGAGATCCTGCAGTCCCCACCAGTGTTGAGGTTCATGGGGATATCTTGTCACCTGGTTTTGCATAATTATGTGCATTGGTTTTGCTAAGAGTAGCTTTTTGTGGGAATTCAGAGATTCAATTATGCCTTCTGATACTATCATCTTTTCAGAATTTTTACCATTACTCTTTTCTTTTAGCACTTATTTTGCTAAAATATGGGGTGCATCTAGATAAAAGCCAGAAGATGATAAAACTAAGAAAGTGACAAATGGAAATTACATGGTTTAATCGAACACATGCTGACATTAAAAGGTCCTTTTCAGATTACTGAATATAGGCATGATAAAATTTCAAAACTCTTACTATTAACACAAGTCACAGCACTGCTTCATCTTTTCTTCTATTTCTACATATTTCTCAAACACTAATGCCTTAAAATTATTGTACTATCCTGATTACTGACCTTACCACCTCTTCATGTTACATCTTTAGTAGAGACGCTAATTTTTCTCAAGAACATGTCTTCATTCTCCTGACTTTTCCATTAGGACTTTAGGCCAAATTTTCTGCTTCTGAGGATTTTGCTACCATACACACATGAGGATGATGCTAAAAACTCTAAACCATTTCTGACATATCCCCGTTCATGACACCCAAAAAAACAGATGCTTTTCTTATTTTGATGGACCATAAAGGGAGGTGTTCACCCGAAAAGCTCGATTATTTCCAAAACTTTACCCAAATAATTTTAGAGGGATCCCTGGCTGTATGCCATTCTTGCTTGAAATTAACTTCTAGTGATTAACCTATCCGGAATTCTCCCTTTTTGTGAGAGCCACTTACAATGAAACTTAGATCAAATTTTCAGTTTCCTGCTAATAACTTCAAAAGTATCCCACTTTAATAATGATTTCATTTTACCTATTTTCACACCTGTTTAGTTTTTATTTACTTGCTTTCAAGCAAATACATCACAGTATTTATATACACAAATTCTTAATTTAATTTTAAAAATACTAAATGATTCTTCTATACACTTACAGGCCAAGTTAATACTGTCCAAGATTGTGAATTACTTGTAAACAAAAGTGTTGGACAGAAAGTACTAATATAGCCAAAAATTCTCAACACAATTATGTGATTCGTGACATTTAGGCAGGGACCACACATACAATGGCGATCCCATAAAATTATATCCTCAGTGAAGTTTGGATTTGTGCTAAGTATTCTATGATGTTTATACAACAAAATCACCCAATGATGTTTTTCTTGGAACATGTCCCCACTGTTCAATGGTGCATGACTGTACATGAAAACAAATTCCTGGAGACAAATATCAAATTAAAAACCAGTGGCATTAAAAATATTAATCCTTGTAACTGTCACCCTAAAGTGCTAAACATACATTACAATGGGAAATAAGTACCCTTTACTTCTTTCACATTACTTGGAAAAGATACATTGTTTACCTTATGAACAAGACGAAAGCAACTCAAATCAAATTAAAAATCACAACTTTACTAACGTATAAGAAATGTTCTGACTGATTTTTCTGTGTAATTATTCAGCAATTTTTTTGAGGAAAACATGCAAAATGAGGGGAAAAAATTGGTTCACAGCATAAAGCAAATCTCAAATTTATTTCATTTCAGAGCTCCCCAAAGAATCATGCAATGAATTACAAAAGTCTCACTAATAAGAGACATAAAAGAGCATAACAAAAGTGGCATGTGGGTCCATATGCATTTCCACCTATAAAATATTCATTGCTGCCTAGGAACTATTGTTGAGTTTTAAAGGAAAACAATCACTATACCAATTGTTCAGATGCCACAAGTTTAAGGAACTTCTTGATGAAGTCAATGAGTCCTTGGATTGTTCGCGTTCGCTCCACAGCCCACTTCTTTGTTTTCATTATAGGGGTATCTCCCACAGCCTTCAGAAGGATGTCTACTGTAAAAGGAAAAAATATATAAATATCTAATGAGCATGTGATCCGAAAGCATTCATACACTGAAATCTTTAATCTACATAAGCTCTATGTATTTATGATTCAGAAGGTATAATCAAATATGTAAAAATGTTAGATTCTTTTTTTTTCTTAACACTACAAAGTTCTCCCCAAGGGACTTTAAATACATTTGACATTAAGAGGTAATTCTCCTATTGTGCTTTATATTAAAATGTGACCCCAAAGCCTCAGGTAATCATAAGTGGAGCTTTTGGGAGATGATTAGACTATGGGGCTTATAGTGACTTGCTGTCAGGAGGTGGGATCTGGTCTGAAGAGTGAGTCACTGCAGGTATGCCCTGGGTCAATTTCTTCCCTGCTCCTCCCTTGATTTCTGTTTCTTGCCTACCGTGCCATAAGCAAGCCTCCTTGGCCACACTATCCTGTAATGAAGCCAGGCAACTATGGATTGAAACCTCTACAAACTGTGTACCAAAACAAGGTTTTCTTTTTTAAGTTGCGGCTGCCAGGTACAGTGTCTCAGCAATGACAAAGTAACTAAAACAGAGAAAATATAAAAATAGACCATAAAGATATAAAATACACATTTAAGTTTACAAAAACATCAAAGTCTAATCTCATGTCTTTTTTTTGGTATTGGGGATCGAACTCAGGACCTTGCACTTACGAGGCAGGAGAGAGAACCACTGAGCTAAATTCTCAGCACTCTCTCATGTCTTTTTTTAACCTACAAAACTAGTAGAGTTAACAGTATAGATGATTATTATTGTTGAGAATATAAAATGGTAAAACAACAGAGATTCCACCTCACCCCACAAAGAATGGCTGCAATCAAGAAATCAACCAATAACAAATGTTGGCAGGGATGTGGGGGCGGGGAAGGAACCCTTCTCCATTGTTGGTGGGAGTGCAGACTGGTGCAACCACTATGGAAATCAATATGGAGATATCTGAAAGAGCTGGGACTAGAGGTTCCATTTGACCCAGCCATCCCTCTGCTGGGCATCTTTCCAAAAGAATTAAAAGAATCATACCACAGTGATATATGCACACCCGTGTTTATAGCGGCACAGTTTGTAACAGCTAAAACTTGGAAACAGCCCATTTGACCATCAGTTCGAGACTGGACAAAGAAGATGTGGTTTTCCGATAAAATGGAGTACTACTCAGCCATAAAGAATAATAAATTATAGAGTAATTCACAGGAAAATGGATGCATATTGAGGTTATACTACTAAGTGAAATAAGTCACACATGTATAAATACCAAATAGTTTCTCTGGTGTGAAAAACTATAATTGTAAATAAGATCCAAATGATATAACTGACAATGTGTAATAGGAAGGACTAAAGGTGTAGGGGAAGTGAGAAGGGTAGGGGAAAGGAAAAAGGGAAAAGAAAAAAATATGAGAAAATGAAAAAATGGAAATAAAATTTTTGTAAATAGGTAAGGAAGGAGGGGGTGAAGGGAGGGCAGGGATATGGGGAAAAAATGAGAACTAAGACCTGTCATGTAAGGTACAAGAGCCCAATGATGAATGTAACTGTACTGTATAAACTCAATGAGAAAAAAATATATGAAATGGTATATCCTTTCTGCCAACCAATGTGGCAATACTTCTAGGAATCTAGTCTAAGAAAACATAAGATGTACTAAGATTCACTTAGAAGGGTTTCACATTCACTGAAGCATTTATTTTTACAGGAAAAAAAAACCTGGTAAACATATGACTCAAACAGGCTATTAAAAGACTGATTAAATAAAAGATGTACAGTATGACAAAATTTATATAATTTGAACACATACTCTAAACTGTCTGGGTTTAAATTGTGGTGTATCACTTGACAGATATATACATCTAAGTGAGTCGTTTAGTCTCTCCATTTGTCATAGGGGATAACACCTACCTCATCAGGTTGTTATAAGGATTAAAGGATTTAGTGCACATTTATAACAGTATCCCACATATAACTTAAGGAATCTTAAGATTATCAAATAGCCAGTAAAGAAACACATTATAACATACTTAATAATGCAGAAGGAGATTGTACTTCTTAGTAATGATGTTATAGACAATTATTACTTGGCATTACTTAACACTTTCATAACTACCAATTTTCTATTACTTTTTTTAGTATATGTGCTGCTAAAATGAGCAGTTTTAATAAAAGAAAAAAATAGCATTAAAAATACAACAAAGGGTTAAACAGTTTCAATAATTCAAAATACAGATATGCAAACTCCAAAGACTATGGAACTGTCTCTTAAGTTACTTTATAATTTGTAAAAAAAAAAAAAAAAGCACCTATAATCAAAATCACTGAAAGCAAATTGCAAGCTACTACCCCCTAAAGTTAACTCCACTACATTACATCCTTATTACTCCATCCTTTGGTATTAAAATTTGAGATCAGCAGGATCTGAAATCAATCTATTCAAGTTTATCCTAGAATGAAGGCATACACAACATATGATACACAATTTATCTTCTCATTAAAGAATTACTTATCTTTCCTTCAGCTATCTTTGGCATAGGAATGAATTTGGAGATAACAGATTTTGGTTAGCTTGTTTTTCACACCCTGCTTCTCTGGCACCTCAATCCTTGGAAGAATTGATATAATTCAGTTGCAATTAGTCATTAAAGTATACTACTGAAAAAGAGTGAGAGAGCAAGAAACTAGAGAACTATTTACTGTATTGTGATTATAGCTGTACTCTTAATACTAAGGGTGATTTTGTCGTTGTAATCAAGGGAGAAACATAAAAGAATACAAATGGCCACATCATTTAAATCAGAATCTTTCAGAAACAGTAACTCAGTACTGGTACATGGATTCAAAAGCTCCCCAGAGTGATTCCCATATGCCCCCAGGGCCAAAAGCCTTGGTCTGTCAATAATGTTTCTCCTATAAATTAAAAGTACAGGGTATGAAATATCTAATGTCTTACATTAGATCATTTTCCAAAAAAGGATGACAATCTCAAGATGGGAATTCAAATGATTCAGTTTGAAAAAAAAAAAAAAAACAACAAAAAACAACACAAAGAAAATTGTGGAGACCAAAGAAAACATGCTATCTAATAATACCTGGATTATGGGCCATTGTTTTCTGGTGTCCTTATCACAGGTATCATCAGGGTCAAGCACTAAGATTTAATTAAGGCTGTTAGACTTTACATCCTTTGAAAATATGCAACTGTTCATAATAAATTAGAAGAAATAAATTTAAGGAAAATCTGTAAAACCTCTAACAGTGTTTCAAAGATTCTAATGGCTTATTTTCCACAATTAATCACAGTGCACCGTAAGGAAATAATTTGCCACAAATGTTAAGGCAGTCTAATTTTTCTTTTCTTTGCACTGAGGGTTGGGGTGGGGGTGTTGAAGCCTGGGTCTTGAGCTGCTAGGCAGGCGCTCTACCAGATTTACCCAGGCTAAAGGCAGTCTAATTTAAAAAGGACGAAGTGTTGGAATAATCAGCTATCCTCCACCACAGCAGAAAGATCTGTAAGGCCCCCTGCGATCACAGAGCAAAAAACACACATACCTACATCTTAAAACTTCTGTATCAAAAATACTTTTACATGTTAATTTGCTCCATTTTACTATTAGCTTCTTTTAGTTCACTGAAGTTTTGTCCCACGATGTTTCTTCTAACAGAATCTTTGAATAATTACTTTGAAGATAATGTTAAATAATTAATGTACTATTGTTACTTTCTTATTCTCCCAAGACATTTATTAATTTTTAAAAAGTCTGGATTGAGAAAACTTAAGCAAGGACAATGTTAGCCTGTTCAATTCGAAGATGTTTATTTGCTATTTTTTTCACAGGAAACTCTAGACTGCATAGAACAAGTAACCTTCAAAAGTTCTAGGATTTCAACGACAAACTCTTTCCAGACAATAAACACTAGTTCAAAAAACAAAATGACTCACAAAGTTTCCAGGATAGTATTTTTTAAAGGGAATGCTTATGCATTTACTTTCCCTTTAGCATTATGTGTTGAGTGGTCTGGGAATTGAGCAAGGTATAAGCACTCTAACACCGAGCTATACCGCAACCCTTTTTGAGACAGGGTCTCTCTGTGTAGTCCAGGCTGGCCTCGAACACGCAGTCCCGTGGCCTCAGCCTCCCAAGAGACCGGATTAAGGGCGTGTGCCATGCATGTGCGTAGCTCCTTTAACATTCTTAATACTGTTTTAAATTCTAGTTTTTTGGTTCAAAGTGTATTTATATTGAATAAGGGGAGGTAGCGAAACAGTGAGATGTGAATCCTAAACCATGCTCTGCCATCCCTATTACCTTACCGTTATTCTGGATCCCACTCATCTCCTACTTCTAAGAGTCTGCGGTCCGGCTCACTCGAAAGGCGAGTAGAACACACCACGGAGGGCGTAGCAGCACAGACTCAAGACCACCTCGACAACCAAGACACCTAACCCAACCTAGCTAGGCGCGAAGGTGGGTACAAAGGCGGCTTTCTTGAGCGGGACTCAACTCAAACACGCATGAAAACTGAAGAATACACTGTCTCTCTTTTGACTGATAATAAAGTACGTCTGGGACGCGCCCTCCTCTAAATTTTGATCTTTAATTAGCTGCCAGCTTTAGAGACAAAAATTAAATTTCCCGTCTCTACCCAGAAACGGCCCTCTAAATTACTTTTTTTCTTGGTGTCGCCGGCAGGTTCTTCTGTCCCGGGTGAAACTGCAGCAGAAGAAGGGGGCTCTGGTGTGGCTGTTTCGGGGGAGAGTTCCGTAAGTCCTTCGCCGCCAGCAGCACCAACCGACGAAGGGAGCTGCAGCACTGACTCCGGCTCCTCCGCCATCTTGCCGGGAACGGCCCGAGACCGGAAGTGGCGGCTGAACGCGTGCAACGGGCAGGCTCTGCGCTGGGAACGTCGCAAAGGAGGCGTCGCAGTAGGGGAATCCAGCACAACAGTGAGAGTTGGAGTCGCTGGCTTTTCTTTCAAATCTAATCTGTCTCGGGCCTTCGGCCATTACTATGGCAAAATATGCTTCACTGCTATATTAAGTTTCGCGAAGCCGCCCACGAACAATGTGTCCATGGGCTCAACGTAGTAGGTACCCCCTTCAGACAAGTGGACTGGATCCGAAAGATTTCCGCGGCC